CCGGAATCGGACCGAAGCATGTACTTGGTGTGACACTAGATCAGGGTTAGTTTTATACTATTGGATTGGTTTTAGGTACATAAAATCACACTCAACTGGTTGTGGTTTCTTTACAGGTTCAATACAGCGGTTCCCGGTTTGGACTGGTTATTAGTTTTATGTGTATTTTAGTAAAGTTTTAGATTTTCAGTTAGTTATAGTTCCCTAAAGTCGGGATACCAGAGTTGAAAGTTTTTCAGCTTTTTAGATTTTATATGCAATCTATGTGTTTTAAAACTTGCATAACTCATTAGTTTGAAATGAGGTTGACTTTAGATCTTTCTAACATGTAGCTTAGAGTTTGTGCTTCAGTTTAGGCTATAAATTTATCGTGTATGGTTCCATACTTAATGAGTTACAATCCTACGAAGTTAGAATATCAAAGTTGGAAGTTTCTTTTTTCTTCAGATTTTTAGCTCTTATGTGTAATCTATGAAACTTTAAAAATTGCATAACTAATTCGCTTCATTTGAAGTCGGATTGACATAGGATCTTAATTTTCAAGCACATATTTTCGAGTTTGTACTTCATCCGAGGGTATAAACTTATCAATTTTGGTTACATATATTCAATAAGTTAGATTCCCCCGAAGTCAGGATATCAATGTTCAAAGTTTTTGAGCTTTTATATTTTCTCCTTACATATTTCTTTTAAGCCTCGTAATACTATTCTTCCTTAAAAATTTACCTTTAGCATAAAAAACAACTTTTGCTACTGCCTCAACGACTTGTATCATGCGCAACGAATGTTGTATTGGTCCCATTGTTTCAAGAACCGGAAAATCGACGCAGACATCGGTATGTTTCAATAAGTCCGGTCCAAATCCACATAATCCTCTCAACCCGGTCCGGTTTCGGAACCGGTTCTGGCCCGGTTCGGTCCAAATTAAATGCTGCGCCTAGTTTCCAAAGCTAGATGATCACATTTTCAAACGACGAAGTGGGTGTTTGTTTTGTTTTTGAGGAGCGATATTAGAATATTTTATATTAATCTTTGTAGAATATTTTTGTCTAATAACTCTTAACCAAAATGAACTAGTTTATATGATTATCTTATGAAGTTTTAGGGTTCGTCTTCCCCTTCTTCACTAACCCATCCTCCAAAAATAGCAACCCTTCCTACTCTTTTCCTCTTATAATTAATTATTCAGTCGCTTAATTACACATATTAACGGACTTAATCACCGATAATCGGTACAACGTGTTTGCTAAATATATGAATTCTGTTTAGTTTGGTGCATGCAAAAGCAAACGTGAACTCGATCGTAATTCATGTCAATAGCAGTGTTCACGAAAACTTTGGTCAACGTTAGCAAATTTTGGCGAAGTTAATTAGCTTAATTGAAAAACAACACCAAATTTAGATAATAAATGCGTTAATGAGTAACCTCAGTTAATACTTGCGTAACCAGGCTGAGCTTGGTTATTATTGACAGCAAATGCATATGAATAATTAGTTAAAGTATGATCAATCGAGTACGTACTGCATGTAGAACCTCTCAAACACATGATCGGTTACATACGATTGAGATTAAATAATGTATTTTGTTTAGGCGTAATTGCAAAGCCCGTATATGCAATAACCACCAGGCATACACTTGTTGCCACACGATCCACAATGCCGCTTGTCATAAGCCAAATTCACACAATCCCCTCCGCAACACGAGCTCGTAAACTTGCACTTGTTCTTGCATGTTCCACAGTTATGCTTATCCTCGCTCAAATCCATACACTTGTTGTTGCAGCAAGTCGAGTTTTTGCCTTCTAAGATGTAGCAAATCTCGTCGTCTTTGTTGCAGTGGTCTGCAGCTCGAGGGTTCTTGTTTTCGGCTAGAAAACGACTTAACCTTTTTGGAAACGGTTTCACGTATGGTGTTTCAGTGACCATTGTTTCTTCCTCATTGTTCCCCGTGAAGGTGATGGTATAGTTGACGGCGATGGCTGTTGCCATGGCTATGGCAATGATGAAGATTACTTTCATGATCTTCATGTTGTTGAGACGATCAGATTGAAGTGTTTAAAGTTGTTTTGTTGTTAAGAGATTGAAGGGTGCAGGTGAGGTGGATCTCTCGGTTTTGGGAGATTAATTATATAGGGTCGCCAGAAACGGTAGGGGTTGACCGGCGGGGATCCAACCATCCAGGTGAAGGGCATGTGGTGGGGTAACCAAGTATTGTGAGTTCTAAGGTTTACTATTTGAAAAAAAAAAGTTAATTAATTATGCATGAAAACTGCAAGTGCCAGTTAATTGTCGTTCAAGGACGACTTTCAGTATAACTAATTATTTTAAGAACAAAAAATTAGTGTCTATAAACCCTATTTAAGGAAGCATGCACATACAAGTTAATTATTTGTTAAGGAAGCGTCTTTTGTGAATTAATTAACTTAACAAATTTAACGAACACCTACGTTATGTAGTTGAAGACTTGAAGTCGGTCATTAAAACTTGAAGAAAAGCGCAGTCAAATTCTGAACTTGCTCTTCATTCATGACTTGTACCATAATAATATGTTATTTTTTATTAATGGTAAAAGGAATATAATATTTTAATCGATCATGGAATAACCACAAAACAAACCAACGGCCATCGGGTAACAAATGTTAATTTTTTGGGTCGTGTGGATGGTTGTCCAAGCAACACGCTTCATGGGCCAGGCCCAATATATATATATATATATATATATATATATATATATATATATATATATATATATATATATATATATATATATATATATATATATATATATATATATATTACATGAAATAACCTTTAGAATATATTTTGGATAAAATATATTTGTGACAAAGATACTAAAATATATTTGTAAAACTTGGCAGTTAAAATGGTTTGGGACTTAAAATGGGTATTTTAGGCTGTCTTAGACGTGCTAGCTGAAAATCTTGCTTATAATGGGACTTAAAATGGTTTATGTGGTATGACTAAACACTAAGGAGATGTTTGGCAAAACTAATTGGTTTGAATTTGTAATTTTAATTTATACAAAGTGTTTGACAAAAGTAATCGGTAGTTTTTTAATGTGTAAAATTAATTACAAACTAAAATCTAAAAGCTCATAAAAGGTACATGAAATAATTATTAGGTTTTGAGCTTTTTGTTTAATATAAAAACTAAAATCTTCTACTGTCAATCGAAGATTTTTTTTTCGAGTTTTTTCTTAAACTATAAAAACTAAAAGCTTCCAAAAACTCTACGTCAAAACATGTCCTAAATTGCAATAAACTCATAAAATAAGTTAGGTGATGGGCGTTAAACATAATCCAAATTGCAATGAATAATATTTTGCTTGAATAATTTAAAATGTCTGAATTATTAAATGGCATCATATTTGTTGGAAGTTGTTTGGTTTGGTCTTTGTATTATTAGATTCCTTGGCCAAAAAATCTCACTATGTATGTTATCCTTGTTGAGTTAGGTTTTATAAATACCCATATCTTATCATAGTTGACCTCAAGCACCTATGTGGACACAACGACTATGAGAGGAAAAGTTACCGTTTGGATTTGTCTCTTGAATAAGAATTCAAAACACACTTGACAAATGGATCAATTATATGCCTTTCCACAAACTCTCATAACACAAATATGTACAGATTCTTGATTTTTTTGTTAGCATATTCTTCATCTTGATCAAAAGCGTATACACCATTACAAATCATAAATGTCACAATAAGAATAAGTGAATAACTATACTTACATCACACAATAATAACTACTTCATTTCATCTTACGGAAACATTAATAGTATTCATGAGAAGTTGAGAAGTTTACATAATGGTACAAGTGGTACATGGTTCTGGAGGCATATGAACCACAGCCCATGGTTGACAAACAACACAGGTGTTCGGCAAGCTCATATTACATGAACAGATATGAAATTCATGATCAGGCTTTTTCTCTGGTGGTTTCTTTTCATCTTCCTTCTTTGGAGCTGGAGGTGGAGGTCCAATTGTCACCACTTCTACACATTTTATGGCCTTCCGTGCTTGTAAAATTATCTCATAAGGATCTGCATCTCCTGTTACTGTTAATGTTCCTTTGGCTGCATCTATTTCAATCTTATCTACACCTTCAATCAATTAACAAACCACATAGTATGAAACTCGATTTCATAGCTTCTTAATCATACATCTATGAACTTAATTTCCTCATTTATTTCTTATCGGATTCATATAATTAAATATACCATGTTCAAATACTTAAAGGAGATGAACATTTGTATGCGAAGGAAAGCACGTTCCAGCATGCGGGTCCCAGTTATTTTGAAGAAAAAAATGACTTATTGGAAAAGTAAATATACCAAATATCAGAATGAAATTATAAGTATGCTATAGCTTGTAAGAAATTTGTTGTTTATACCACCATATTTGATTTTATTTACAGAGAAACTTTCATTCTCCTAAAAATATAATAATTTTATTTTCTGAAAAAGTAAACACTCTCAAATAAAAGGTATCAAGCTCAATCCTCATAGTTAATCAATATCCATGTTTTCTGTCACTTGGCAAAAGCCATACATTATACTAGAAAAAGCTAAATACAATGATATTAAAAACCAATAACTCTTTAATTTCGAAAAGTCTAAGAGTGAAATTACCTTGAAGGCTAGAAACTGATTTCAAAAGCTTCTTCTTGCATTTCTCGCATGATAATAATACCTTCAATACCGTCCTTTGCACCATTTGCCCTTCAAAACACACACACACACTCATATATATATATATATATATATATATATATATATATATATATATATATATATATATAGTTAGGTTCATATGTGTGGATGGTCATCTATTGTGTGGATGTAGAGCTCAATATAGACCAATCATTAATTAATTAAATTAAATATTAATCCTATACAACTATGGAAACTCCCTTGATTTACTCAACAAGGCTATTTATCTTTCTTCCTATCTTTTTCTAAAAGACAAAATTGCAAAAATAGTCCCTGTGGTATGCAAACTTTTGGGGTTTTAGTCCAAACCACGAGTTTTTTGGATCCATGGTCCTTTTGGAGTGGTTTCTATGTGGTTTTGGTCCCTGGACTTAACTCCCGTTAAGTTGGATGTGTTAAGCCCTCTCACGTGCCTCACACGTGAGGGTAATTTCGTCATTTCATATGTTAGGGACCATTTTTGCATGAACGTTTTTTGGATTAATTCCTTTTTCCCCTCATTTACTTTCCCCAACACTCGTCAACTCCCCAACTCCCTCCTTCTTGCTTCTGCTCCATTGAACCTGCAAAAAACCCTCGTTGCTTATCCAAACAAGATAATCGACACTACACATACAAGGGCATACGTTTAATACGAAATGGTGTTCGTAATGTGGCATATCATACCAAAACACGAAGTTGTTGATGTATCAACTGTATATGGTAAGTTGCTCTGTTTTCTTTAACTTTTATACTTTGTATTTTCTTATTGATTTAGAACAAAAAAATGCAAAATTTTGACTTTGTTAATATGTACAATTTTGATTTTTAGCTGGTGCACCCACATGGTTTAGTATTAAGCTTCATCACGATGGGAAATTTACTAAGTTACCTGATATAAAGTACATTGGAGGTGAAGTGCGTTATGTTGATTATGTGGACATTGATGCCATAATGCTTGACCTAGGTTACCCAGACCCACGAAATTCTGAATTCGCTGATGAATCCCCAGGTATATACTACCATTTTAGGATACCCAATGGTGACTTTCAATTTGGTCTTAAAGCTTTAGGGAATGATCAGGATGTGATCAACCTTTCTAAATACATTGCACATAACAAGCTGATTGAGGTGTACACAGAGCATGGAAAGACAAATTTACTGACTTACTTCATGTCACCAAATGCAAAGGGTAAAGTTGTCATTGAGGAATTACCAGAAAATGATGATCAAGGGGCTAAAGTTGAGGGTCAAGTTCATGCAGATTCTCCAATGAAAAATGTGAACCATGGTAATGGTGAGCCTATTGGTGAGTTCATGTCTCTGATTCTTTTTGGGAGTAAGAATGATAGTTTCTCACCAGAGTATAGAAGGGGTAGGGTTGGGAATTCCAATATAGGTGAAAGTTCTTGTAGCAAGAGGCTTAATTTAGATTATATTGATGAGGGTGTTCACATTTCAAAGGAAAAGAATGATGATCAGGATGGTTCAACTGATGTTCAGGAGGCAGCAACTTGTGTTCATATTGATGAGATGGATGGTGTTAGGGAGGCTGCAACTGTTGTTCAAGAGGCATCAACTGTTGATGAAGGATGCTACAACACCCCCTGTTAATAATGCTGATGAACAATTGAATGAGTTATTTGATAACCTTATGGAAAATTTGATTGGGAGTGATGATGATAATGCAGAGTATGAAGGGGATGGAGAATCTGAAGAGGGTAATCAAGAGTATGAAGAGGATGATGAATCTCAAGAAAGTGATCCAAATTTTGAAGAGTATGATGAATCTGAAAATAGTGACCAGGGTATGAAGAAGATGAGAGACAAATAGAAGATGAAGATCATGTGGATGACATAATGGATGTTGACAACAATATACAGGATGTGGATGTGGACATGGGAGACTTCACTCTCAATGTTGAAAGTGATGTGGAAGGTTCTTGTATAAATGTTGTTCATGGGCATGAACCTGAAGATATGGAAGTGATCAACAATGAGGAATTTGAATCTTTGGATGAAGGATCTGACCAAGACAGAGAGAGAATAGCTCTTATCAAGAATTTGAGAAAAGAAAAAAGGTGCGGTCTTAGGGATGTACATAAACAATCATTTTCAGTTGGAGATAAATTTAATAGTAAAAAGAATTAAAGGAGGCAATTGATCTGCATGCACTAGAATCAAGAAGGAATCTTTTCTTTAGAAAAAATGACAATGTAAGGCTTAGGGCACAATGTAGAGGAGTTGTACCTGTCACCAATAAAGGCCAAGTGGGTAGTCAAGCTACCACTTCAAAAAGAAAGGGTAAAGAATTAAAGACACAAAAAGTAACATGTGGTTGGTACATTCATGCATCTAGGTCAAATCTTGAATCCGACTGGTTTATAAGGACCTTAAACCAAACTCACACATGTTTGCATCAGGGCTTGTACTGCTTCTTTAATCAGCAAGAAAATCTTTGATCAAGTTGAGGCGAATCCAGATATACCTTTGAGAGCCATACAAGATCACTTTCAAAAGACCTACCAAGTGGGTGTTACTATGGACAAGGTGTTCAGGGCAAAGGATAAGGCAAGAAAGCATATAACTGGGGACTACACAAAGCAGTATGAACTGTTGAGGGACTATGTTCTCGAACTTCAAGCCACCAACCCAGACACCACAGTGAAAATAGATGTATGTTCTGAGCCTAACCCTGATTCCCCAACCAGACAGTTTAGAAGAATTTATGTGTGTTTGGGTCCACTGAAAAAAGGGTTCAAGGCATGCCTTAGGGACTTATTAGGTTTTGATGGTGCCTTCATGAAATGACCATTCCTTGGGCAGGTCCTTTCAGCAGTTGGTCTTGATTCCAATAATGGAATTTACCCATTAGCATATGGGATTGTTGAGTCTGAAAACACAGAAAGCTGGAAATGGTTTTTAGATAACCTTGGGGATGACTTGGACCTTGGAAGAAAATCAAATTTTACTTTCATAAGTGATAGGCAAAAGGTAAAGCTGGAAGTGGTTTTTATACATTTGGTCATTTAAAGTGTGGTTTTAAGTTAATTCTAATGATTGGCAATTGATTCTTGCAGGGTTTACATACTGCAGTTGAGCAATTGTTTCCCAATACTGAGCATAGATATTGTATTAGACATATTCAAGACAATATGAGGAAAAGATGGAGGCAAACAGAGTACAGGGACCACTTATGGAGGTGTGCATCAGCTACCACCATTCCTGAGTTTGAACATTTGATGAAGGAGTTTAGTTAGTATGATAAGGAGGCATGTGAATGGTTGAAGCAAATTCCTCCTACACATTGGGCACGAAGTCATTTTTCAGGTAAATCTATATATTCCAATTTGGTCCTTATGTCTTTCACTTAGTGAAATGTTTTACTTGTATGTGAATTGTATTAAATGTTTTTTAATGGTAATGTACACACAGGAAGAGCAGTTTCTGATGTGTTGATATCAAACATGTGTGAAGTGTTTAATGGGAAGATAGAAAAAGGAAGGGATAAACCTGTCATTGGATGTTTAGAATACATAAGGGAGTATCTAATGAAGAGGATATGCAATGTCATGAAGGAAATGAAAAAGGCTAAAGGTCCACTAACACCCACAGCAACAGACATCCTAGCTGCAAGAAAAACAGTTGCTTCACAATACATTGCTAGGTGGAATGGGGGAGACAAGTATCAAGTCACAGGAGCTTTGCAGGATCAACATGTGGTTGATGTTAGGAACAAAACATGCACTTGTAGAAAATGGGAATTAATTGGAATTCCATGCAGACATGCAATTGCAACTCTAAATGAGATGAGTAAAGACCCAGAGGCTGAGCTTGACATTTACAAATGGGTTCACAAGGTGTATTTTCTAGAGACATGGAAAAAGGCTTATTCTTTTAAGGTGGAGCCAATTAAGGGTAGATCCATGTGGCCCAAAAGTGAATGTCCCACAAAGCTAATCCCTCCTCCACATCGCACTCAGGTGGGAAGGCCTAAGAAAAAGAGAAGACAAAGTGAGGGTGAAAGGTTAAGCAAAAAGCAGAAGGCAAGTCAAGGTGATGGATTGAATGCTACACGAGAAGGAGGTTCCCAAAAACCAACAAATGATGGAGTGCAGAAGCTATCAAGGAAGCATATCAGTGTTACTTGTAGCAAATGCAAGAACAAGGGACACAACTCTAGGACCTGTAAAGGGCAAGGTGGGAATTAGTCCAAGAAGTAATGTGTCATGCATGCATGGGGTTTTCTGTGATTTTGGTTGGTTATGAAAACTTGGTTGTTATGTTTACAATATTTTGTTGAAAACTTTTGGTTGGTTGTTATGAAAACTTGGTTGTTATCTTAGGTATGGTAATGTGTCCCTTTTGGTAATGTTTAGAATCTTTGGTTGTTAAGTTTAGAAACTTTGGTTGTTATATTACAAATCTTAATGAAATGTGCATTTCGGTTATGTACAATTGGTTCTAATATATACATTTTGGTAATACATTCATACCATTTCTATTCATATGCTAATTCTGATACATTCATACCATTTTGGTAAAACATTCATTACACTTGCATCATAAAATTGTACATATATCATTATCATCATAAGTCACTACAAACATGATCACATAAAATTACAACAAAATGACCAAAACACCCTTCAGAGTATACCCCTACACAAACCAATTACATAAGAATACAATCACAAAGAAAAACCAACTTCCAAACATGTACATTTTCAGCTTCAAATTGTCATCCTTCAATGCTTTGACATTTGCCACCAACATGTTGTTCCTGCATATCAGTCAATTGCATTGATCCTGTAGCATGTGCATACTTCTAACCAACTCATTGCACGGTTCCTGCACTGAATTCAAATTTCTTAGCAGACCAGGTATGATGGCTTTAGCCCTAGCACACATTGGGGGATCAAGCCACCCAATAAACCCACAAACGAAATCATTCATAGGGCATGCAAAAAATCTCCTTCCTGGATTCAGAGGGGTCCAAGACGTTTTCACCACAGCAACTTTTCCACAAAAACATAGCACCATTTTTGTTGTAGCAGAGCTCAAGAAGAAGAAGGGTAGAAGAAAAGAGACGTTGGGGAACGTTGGGGAAGAAGATCGCAGGAAGTGGGGGTATTTAAAAGGAATTAATCCAAAAAACGTTCATGCAAAAATGGTCCCTAACATATGAAATGACGAAATTACCCTCACGTGTGAGGCACGTGAGGGGGCTTAACAGATCCAACTTAACGGGAGTTAAGTCCAGGGACCAAAACCACATAGAAACCACTCCAAAAGGACCATGGATCCAAAAAACTCGTGGTTTGGACTAAAACCCCAAAATTTTGCATACCACAGGGACCATTTTTGCAATTTTGTCTTTCTAAAATCCCAGGTAACCCACAAACAATTCACGTCCCTTTTTTAATTGAAGATAATCACAGCTAGCAAATGTTGAAAATCAATTCATACTTAACATTCCATTTTTTCAGAATATAACTTCATGAATCAAAATTCTTTAAGCTTTTTGTTCCAATAGAAATTTCGTTCTCACAGAATTGTAAATTCACGTTTCACAACATTCTTTAAGAACACAAAAAATATGAAAACTCTTTGTTGATGGATGAGCTTGACCGCAATTCTTTTTTAGGTGTGGATTTGTATCAATATAGGGGAAGAAGGAGTCGACTTAACCCTATAATCATGGTTCTTTAAAAAAAAAACTGCTATTCTTTCACTCAATAAAACATCACAAATTCATACAAATAAAACTTCAATGTCGAGAATTAATTAAAATTCCATCCTTTCAAAATATACTGGCATGAATCAACAATCTTTAAACTTTTCGTTCAAACAGAAATTCAATTCTTACAGAATTCTAAATTCCTGTTTCACATTAACTATATTCTTTAAGAATAAAAAATATATATATGAACATCGTACGAACAGAATTTCAATGCCGAGAATTAATTAAAATTCCATTTTTTCAAAATATATTGACATGAGTCAACATTCTTTAAGCTTTTTGTTCCAACAGAAATTCAATTCTTACAGAATTCTAAATCCATGTTTCAAATTAACTATACTTTTTAAGAATAAAAAAAAAATATGAACATCGTACGAACTTGAATGCCCTTATTCTATTGTTTTAATAATGTTATGTTCTTTCATACAATATCCTTTTTTAAAGCTTTGTGTATTATCTTTAATTTTTAAGATAAGAACCAGTTTGTTTATCTCAGAATAAGCCACATTCCTTGTATGGATAGGAATGAATTGTGTGTTTCTATGGGTACAGCTAATTAAGATTTTTTTTAAAAGCATTAAATTAGAATAGTATTTTCCATTCTTATCGTTTCTAACCATATTCATTTAATTACAATTGTACTTTCCTTTCTTTAGTTTAATTGAAAATATAAATAACTTTTTTAAAATATCTTAAACTATTAGTTGACATTCATTCCTACATCCACACAATATATACCATCAACATTATAACCTAACCATATATATATATATATATATATATATA